ATCGTTTGAATTTAATGTTCAATTAAATGATTTGAATTTTAATTTTATGTTCTCCATTCATTGAAACAAAACATTTAAAAAAAAAAAAAAGAAAATTCTTTACTCCAATTTTTCTCAATCATCTTTACGTTCGAAGAAAAAGAAAACAAAATGGTGGGAGAAAAGAAAAAGAAAAAAAAAAATCAAAACAACAACCAACCCTGAGGAGGGGTACAGTCAATGCTAAAAACAGAGGTAGGGGTGGGGAGGACTACGATAGTAAAACGAAAAAAAAAAACCAAACAAAATGGTTGAAATCAAAATATATTTTTGTTTGTCCCTATGTAATTTTCTATCTCTAGATTACTTTTTAATTAGATTCATCATCATCTTCATCATCATCATCATCATCATCATCTCTCTGTGTATTTAAAATACTAATAATATTGCATTTAATATAAATATATTATTATTTGTTTTTAAGGTTAGTAGACCATCATTCATATCAATTATTTCCCATTAATCATCATCATTATCATCATCATCATTATCATGCTCTGTTCGTAATTTTCAGATTTTATTTATCCCCGGTTATTATTTACTTTTCTAATTTTATTTTATTTTATGTTATTTTATGTTATTTTATTTATTTATTTATTTATTTCTTCATTCTGTTAACTAATTCATCAACATATCACTAAGAAAAATTGTTTGCATGCGCGTGTATATTACGACGCATGCGCATATACAGTTACGACGACGAAGACGACGACAAAGGCAGCCATTTTAATAATAATAATAATAACTTTGTTTTAATTATTAAATTTGTTTGTTTGTTCTTTTTTTTTTTTTACTTTATTACTTTATTACTTCCTCGTCTTATTATTTTCAATTTTGTTACGTTTAATATTATCATTTAATCTCATTTATATCATTTTGAAATTCTCGTTAATGTATATAATATAAATTAATTATATTATATTATATATATATATATATATTTATTATGTTATTATTTATACTGTATATAATAATATAATAATATAAACAAAAACGCATTGGCTATACTTTTGTTTTTCTATTTTTTCTCAAATACGTTTTTTTTTTTTTTTTACTTCTATATAAGAAAAAAATTAAATAATTATTGAAATACAGTTGGTATTTTATTTTTTTGTTTACTTTCCCCCTCCCTAACTACCTCCCTAACCTCCCTCCCTCCCAATATCCTGCAGTTGTTCATTTTGTATTTTAAAGTTTCTTGTGTAAAAAAAATTCATGATAGAAAAAGAACTGTAAATAGGTTAATTGTAATTTTAGTGATAATTGGATTATTAAATAGATCATTGAAATTTTCTATCATCCTTCTTCATTCCTTCTTTTTCTTCTTCTTCTTCTTCTTCTTCTTTTTCGTATTCCATCATTTTTAATATTTTACTGTATAAATAATCCGACATTTTTGTTGTTTTTTTTCTTCTTTTTAATTAGCCACAGATAAACTGGTTTATTTTACTTTAATCATTTGTGATCATTCTTCTCATTTTTTTCTGTATTTTTTATAATTATTTCTTTCTTTCTCTCTCTCTCTCTCTTTCTCTCTTTCTCTTTTTGTAAACATTTTGTCGTTTTTTTTTTTTGTATTCTGTCATAACCTCTAATTTTTTTTTATTTTCTTATTTGAGTATGTTACATAAGTTGTGGCTCCGTTTCAACTGTTAATATCTTTCATTTGCGCATTTTAGGATTTGTTTTTTTTTTTTATACATCTTAGGTGTATGTGTGTGTGTGTGTGTATGTATGTATGTGTATACGTATTTAAGTCAAGTGTAATACATGTTTTTTTTTAAGTGTAAATATATGTTATATATATATATGTGTGGTTTTAATGAATGAATGTACTTTTTGTTTAATTTATTTTTGGTATCTACCATTATTAATAATAATTACTGTAAAAGTTATGGTGGTGGTTTTCTTTTATTTTTTTTATTTTTTTTTTTTTCTAATTGGTTTGATTAAACGATTTTTTCACTTCACGATTTTTCTATTTGTTGTTGTCTTTTTATTCGTTTATTAAATCATTAAATTGTTATTATTGCGTTGATCCCAAAAGTTTTATTTTTTTTTCTTTTTTTTCTTTTTTTTTTTTTTAATACACGAGTCGCGTCTCTGGTGTTTTGGTTTTTTTCTTTCACTTTACAGATCAGAAGAAATAAAAAAAGAAAAAACAAAAAAAAAAACTACTCAAATTGTTGTTTCTTTTAATTTTTTCTTGTTTTATTTTTTATTTCTTTTTATTTTTTTTACTATCTTGTCCGGGTTTTTTTTTTTTTTTTTAATGTTCACATTGTATACAACATTTGTTATTTTTAATTATTTTTTATTCTTCGTTCATATATATAAAAAAAAATCTACTACGTAAAGTATATCTTAAAGAATTGACAAAAAAAAATCTCATACACACAATAAAAAAATAAAAACTTATACGATGAAATTCGTTAACATGCAAAAAAAAAAAAATGTATTT